AGCGGTGCTGTCCAGCTGCTCGTTGCAGCCACAGCGCCTGCTCTCACGCCCACCTGCCGGGTCCTGCACCTGTCGCTGCTGCATCTGCCGTGGCTGAGGTCACTGTGGCCCTATCTGCCATCACTGCACCTGCTGCCTGTAGCAGGCACGCCCCCGGAGGTGCTGAGCCGCGATGTCCAGCTGCTCGTTGCAGCCACGGCGCTTGCTCTCACGCCCACCTCTCGGGTCCTGCACCTGCCGTTGTTGCATTTATCATGGCTGATCTATGTTGCTGTTTCCTCTGCTTCTCCTACCTCTTGCCCAGGTTCAGGGGGTGTGACTTGCTCGAGTTATGTGCTGCAGGCAGTTAAGGGGGTGTGTCGCGATATATATTTTATATATGTTTATAACTGCTTGTAGCTTTAGCTTTAGTGTAGTTATACAAACCTGGTTGGTGGTGCACCTCTTGTTTGTTTGCTATATGTACCTTTGGTGCTATAGTGAACACAACCATTTCTCAATCCTCCTTGGTACAAACTACTCGACACCCGCTTGGCCTAGGCTACTAAGCCTAGGCCCTCCTTAAAACCCGGTTATCAGTTAAGACACTATTGTAACAGAAGTTGACGCCGGCCAGGTGGCACGTGTCGGCGTGGACACCATCACGAGCTCGGTGAAGCACAAAGTCCCCACCGGCCTGATCATCACGCCGTCGGCCGGCACCGACCAGTGCGGGCCGTTTCAGGTGGCCGCCAAGGATGGAAGCCTGTACTTCTTGCTGCGAAAGGACCGCAAGACTTGCTTTGTATGGGTGAGGATGGTCGCCAAGAAGTTGGACGTGCTGCAGGAGTTCGAGAAGTTGGTGCTGATGGTGTGCTCTGACCATGGAGGGGTGATCCTCGGGAAGCATTTCACCGACTTCGTAGATAACAAGGGCATCGTCCATAACTTGACCCGCCCGTACACTCCGCAGCAGAACGGCATGGTGGAGCGGGAGATGCGGACGGTGGTCGAGTCCGTGCAAATGATGCTGCTGCACATGGACGTGCAGCATCACTGGTGGCACCTCGCCTTGCGACAGGCCGTCTGGGTGCGCAACTTCTTAGGTCGACCCCGTACCAGCTGCTGACCGGCAAGAAGCCGGACCTGGCTTAGGTGGGGTTGTATGGCGAAGTTCGTGGTCCCCGAGCAGCAACGTGGTAGAAAGCTGGCGCCAAAGGCCAGGTCGGGCCTTCACCAAGGCGTGTCGGAGGAGAGTAAGGGCCGGGAGGTCCTCGCTTTCAACGAGAACAAGGTAGTCACCACGTCGGACATGGTGTTCTACGAAACCATGCCGCTGGAGGTGTGGAAGTCGGAGCGCGGGCCGGGGTCGGCGGCGACACTTCCATTGCTCACCGAGGTCGGCGAGCCTGGTGATGAGGACACCGAGGACAACCTCCCACCTTCCCCTTCCCTAGCTCCTCCTGCCCCACCCGTTGTGGCCGACCTGCATGAGCTGACGCCGACGTCGGCCTCCGGCAATGAGGGGAGCCGTAGGGCGTCGCCTGTGGTGCCGGCCAGTGGCATCGCCGGGGGCCGACGTGACGTCGAGCAAGTCGGCGTGCAAGAAAAGTCACCAACAACAAGGGAGCAGCGAGAGGTCGAGAAGCCGTCGATAGGGGAGTAGCCTGCAGTGAAGTAGACAGGGGAGCCGTCGACGATCGGGCAGTCGGTATTGGGGCGGACGACAGGGGAGAAGCCAGTCACGACGGCAGGGAAGTCGGCCAAGCAGCCGTCCTTAATACAGCAGGCCGGTGAAGACATCGAAGCAGACGGCGATGAAGGGTAGCAGTCGGCAGACGAGGAGTCCACTGACAGCGACGTGGTTGAGGTCTACGACGAGAAGCCTGAAGTCCGACGTTCAAGCGGACTTCAGAGGCCGCCTACACCATGCTGCTCGACGACGCACGCGCCGACGTTGACTTGCCGGAGCTCGACCCGGACATGCACGCTGACCACAAGCACCGTTGGGACATCGCGGCGACGACGGTGAAGGAGGCGTTGGCGAGCTGGAAGGGCAAGGCGGTGAAGGCCACCATGGACGAGGAGATCCGCAGCCTGCCCACACAGGGTGAACATCATGAATAACCGGTGGGTCCTGCTGACCAAGTACCACGTCGACGACAGGGTCGCCCGAGAGAAGGCGAGGCAGGTTGTGAAGGGCTTCACGCAGGTGTATGGCGCCGACTACGACGAGACATACGCGCCAGTCAGCAGTTACGTCACACTAATGATCTTCCTCTGCATCGTCCCTGCCCTCGACCTCAACCTGATGCAACTCGACATAAAGAACGCCTTCCTACAGAGCAAGCACGACAGGGTGCTCTACATGTACCAGCTGGACAACTACGATGATGGGACCGGCCGGATGTGCAAGCTGCTGAAGATCCTGTACGTGCTGAAGCAGTCGCCAGTGCTGTGGTACAAGGCGCTCGATGACGTGCTGGCCGGCGCCCACTAGAAGAGCCAGGTCGACCAGGTGCTCTACTTCAAGGTTGGCGACGATGGGGCGACTTGCTGGGTTCTGATCTACGTCGATGACCTGCTCGCCGCCAACAGCAGCACCGTCATGCCGAGGGAGCTGAAGGTGCTGCTAGAGGCCGCCTTCGAGCTGCGCAAGATCTCGCCTTTCGTGAAGTACCTTGGGCTGGAGATCGTGCGCGATAGGCCGACGAGGAAGCTATGGCTGCACTAGCAGAGCTACGTCGACAAGTTGTGAAGGCGTTTCATCGACGAGGAGCAGACCGAGAGCATCCCGAAGACGCCTGTCTCCGTCGACGCCTATGCCGAGCTCACAGGTCGTCGACGACGAGGACACTTAGTACCGGCAGAAGGTCGGCTCGCTGCAGTTCGCAGCGACGACGACGAGGCCGGACATCGCCTGCACCCGCAGCAAGCTGGGGAGCGGCCTTACAGTGAGGAGCAACGAGCACTGGCGTGAGGTCGACCGCTGCCTCACCTACCTCGACGACACTCTTGACAACGCCTTGGAGTTCGGCGGTGGACTAGAGTCACTAAAGCTGGTCGGCTACATGGACGTCGACGACGCCGGCGACAAGAAGAACCAGACGAGCACGGGCGGCTACGTGGTCGTCTTCAGAGGGATACGCTCTCGTGGACCAAGTCGGAATACGTGGCGGCCACAGAAGTCGGCAAGGAGGTAGGCCAATTGCGCTTCCTTCTTACAGAGTTCCAGCTGCTGGACGCTGGGACACCGACCGTCCTTCGAGTGGACAACAAGTCAGCCATCACGGTCGCCGAGGGCTTGGGGCTACAAGGCAACCTCAAGCACATGGAGTGGTGATACGCCTAGCTGCAGCATATGGTGAAACGCGAGAAGTTCGTGCTGAAGTACACCCCGACCACCGAGCAGCCGGCCGACTTCCTGACGAAGGCGTTGCAGTTTGTGGCCTTCAACCGGTGCTCTGTCGCAATCGGTCAAGTACGCGTGGCCAACGTCGGCGACGGTGACGACGACGTGCAGGAGTAGGTGCCGTGCCCTTCTGCCCGGCTGGTGCAGTGACGGCGTGCTGTGTGTTGTGTGCACGCCTGCGACAACGCGTTGTTCTCTGAGGAATACTGCTGCATGGGGAGTGTCAACGGGAGTTGTGTGTTGGCCCCATCCTTGCTTGGGCGGAGCCGACTCCGTGGTCGGGTGTGCGGGAAGTGCGGCCGACCGACTGCAGTGAGCGACGCCGACTTGGGCGCGCAGGTCGACGGGCATGCTCGACCTGCACGGGGCTGTCAGAATATGTTGTTTGTGTAGCCTGCAGTGGGGTACTCAATAGTGAGTACAGCCCCTTAGGGTTTGCTATTTGTATCCTGCTGCTTGCTAGTTCAATCATTCCTTCTCAATTCTGTTCTAGACACAATCCTAGCTCGTACTTGGCGCCTCCTCCTAGTCTTCCTGTGGCCTAGGCTACTAAGCCTAGGCCAGACTACTTAGTATATTTGACAGGGGCCACAGCAAAGCCACCGACTTTGGGACGCCACAGCCGACTTCTACAGGTGGTCGACGACGGGGCTCGTCGACCTGAGCAGGGCGCTGATTTGGAGGGCGCCGACTTTGGGAGGTCGACCCGGCGAGGTCAACTTTGGAGGGCGCCGACTTCGTGGTGCCTACTTGGGGAGGCCGGCTTGGTGAAGTTAGCGACTAGCAGGCCTGGTCGACCAGAAGTGGTCGGCCGGAGGTGGTCGTTGACCTGGGAGGTCGACGAGCACATGGTGCAGCACCTAGTCAGCGTGGTTGCCCGGTCGACCAGGTTAACTGGCGACGGGGCTCTGCGGAGGTGCGCAACGGTCGCCGAGGTGATTTTAGCGAAGCCGGACTCTGAGGTGGTATCGCGAGGTCAACGTGGCTGATCAAGTGCAGTTGGCACGTGGTCGGTTTGGCATCTGCGTTGTGCATGTGACGGGGCACAGCACGCCAACCAAGTGCGAGCACCTGCGAAGAGGGTGCGCTGCTGCCATGCGGATGCAACACAGTGCAGCCTGTTACAACACTGACTCAACTGGTAACCGGGTTTAACTAGGGGCCTAGGCTTAGTAGGCTAGGCAAAGCGGGTGTCGAGGAGTTTGTGCCAAGGAGAATTGAAGAATGGAGGAGTTCACTACAGCACACAAGGTACATATAGCAAACTAACAAAGGTGAAAGAGATGTACCACCATACAAGGGAATTGCACAACAGCTACAGTACAAGCAGATTTTACTAAATATATATAAATCTATTTTGACACACCCCCTATATGCCTGAAGTGCATAACCATGTGCAGAGCCCCCCTTGAAGGGGTACACCTGTAAAACCCCATTACAGGGCATGGGAACACCAGCAAGGGGCCCCCTCTGAAGCTGACAAGCAGCAACCACCAATCAGCAGCTGAACCACCGCGGTGGAACAGGTGCCCGGCTGCGGTTGAACGCCCCCGCAGCAGGTGCACGGTGTGTGAGGAGCACGGGTATGGGTAGCGGGTTCGGGTATCAACTAGGTGCTGTACGGGACGGGCCGCATGGGGTTGATGGGCAGCACGAGATTGGGCAGCACAGACCGGGTGGGGCACGAGCGAGAACTGACAGCATGGGTGGGGCACGAACGGGTACGGACAGCACGGGTGGGGCACGGGCAGAACACATGGGCACAACCGGGCCGCACGGGCAGAACGGGGCAGGACACATGCTGAACGGGGCAACATGGCACGGGAACGGGCACGACATAGGCAGAACTGAGCAGGACACGGGCTGAACGGGGCAACACACGCAGAACAGGGCAACATGGGCACAACGGGGCAACACGGGCACAACGGGGCAGCACGGCAGAACAGGCAGCACAGGCAGAACGGGGTAGGACACGGGCTGAACGGGACAACACGGCATGGGAACGGGCACGACACAGGTAGAACTGGGCAGGACACAGGCTGAACGGGGCAACACGCGCAGAACGGGGCAACACGGGCAGAACGGGGCAACACGGGCAGAGCGGGGCAGCACGGGCAGAACGGGCAGCACGGGCAGAACTGGGCAGGACACGGGCTGAACGGGGCAACACAGGCAAACACAAGATGCACGGGTAAAACGGGTGGGGGCACAGCCAGGTACGGATAGCACGGGTGTAACGGGTGGGGCATGACCGGGTACGGACAGCACGGGTATAACGGGTGGGGCATGACCGGGTACGGACAGCACAGGTGTAACGGGTGGGGCATGACCGGGTACAGACAGCACGGGTGTAACGGGTGGGGCATGACCGGGTACAGACAGCACGGGTGTAACGGGTGGGGCATGACCGGGTACAGACAGCACGGGTGTAACAGGTGGGGCATGACCGGGTACGGACAGCACGGGTGTAGCGGGTGGGGCATGACCGCGTATGGACAGCACAAGTGTAACGGGTGGGGCATGACCGGGTACGGACAGCACGGGTGTAACGGTTGGGGCATGACAAGGTACCGACAGCACGGGTGTAATTGTTGGGGCATGACCGGGTACGGACAGCACGGGTGTAACGGTTGGGGCGTGACCGAGCACGGGCACGGGCACGGGCATGGGGAACACGGGCGGACAGCACGGGCATGGGCACGGGGCAAGCACGCGGAAGTACGGGCAACACGGGGCAGCACGGGACCACGGGGCAGCACGAGAAGCACAAGAAGCACGAGTAGCAGTGGATCACGGGAGCACAGGAGGCGCACGGCAGGAGATGAGAGGAGGAGGAGGCGGCAGTTGCTGACGCTGGAGCTGGAATTTCACCACCCACACCCCTTGAACCTCCCCCCCCATAGCAGCAGCAGCAGCAGCAGCAAAGAGAGAGAGAGGAGGAGATGTGGCTGCAGCTGTTGCAGGTGAAACTTCTGCCATCCCCTCACACCCCCCATAGCCTCCCCCCTGAGCCGCCACCTCCATTTACGCCGCCTCCCCCCCCCCCACCCCTTCCACTGTCGCGCAAACACGGCAGCAGGCAGGCATGGTAGTGGGGGGGGGGGGGCGACATAGGTGCGCACGGACGGCGGGGAGCGTTTGGGCGGCGGGGTTCTGGTGGCGGGTGGCGAGAGTGGGGTGAGTACGGGGGTGCGGACAGGTTGGCGCTGGCGACGATCGATGGCTCTTGCAGCTGGCGGTTGTTACGGGCTGTCCGCTGCCACGCCCTTCCCTTTTTATCCTCTTCCCCCCCACAGCGACCGTCGCTGCACACGCGAGCAGCCGCGACGAGGGGATGAGCGGGTGGCGAGGTCCGTACGGGCGACGGGAGGCGAGTAGGAGGCAGGGTGCGTACGGGGCATCGATCTGGGTGCGTGCTAGGCGCGAACGAACTGGCGCTGGCGACAATCGATGGCGCAGGTCGATGGCGGTCGTTGCGGACGGTGCATTTGTCGCGGTGGGTGCTGGTTTGCATCACTGTCGCGGCTGACGCTGGTCGGCGCAGATTTCGCTGCTGGTGCTGGTCGTTCGCGGCTGGCGGCTGTTGCGGCAGACTCGACGGCGGATCCGTCGGCTCGCATGGCGTGCTCGTGGTGTTTTTGCTGGCGATGTCGCTGGTGCGCCGCTGGCGATCTCGCTGGCGATTTTGCTGGCGGGTTGCTGGCGTGTTCGCTGGCGTTTGCCATAGCGTCCGTCGCAACCGTCGTGCTGAGCGCCGCGACGAGACAGGCGACGGGACGGCCGCGAAAGTACTCGCCGTGGTGCCCGTCACTAAGGTCGCAACTAAGGACGTCACGGGCGCCATGACGAGTGCGTCAAATGATGGGCCCATAGGAATGTCACGGCTCTGATACCATATTACAACACTGACTCAACTGGTAACCGGGTTTAAGTAGGGGCCTAGGCTTAGTAGCCTAGGCCAAGCGGGTGTCGAGGAGTTTGTGCTAAGGAGAATTGAAAAATGGAGGAGTTCACTATAGCACACAAGGTACATGTAGCAAACTAACAAAGGTGAAAGAGATATACCACCATACAAGGGAATTGCACAACAGCTACACTACAGGCAGATTATACTAAATAGATATAAATCTATTTTGACACAGCCGCCTTGCTGTAGTGTCAGTACGCCGTCGACTTACAACGTTGGCAAGCTGCCATTCTGCAGTGCTGGAGCGGTGCGGACTTTTCAGCACTGGAACACAGTCGACCATGCTGCGCTGGAGGTCGACCTACTTGCTTGCTAGCTTCTGATGAAGTACATTGTCGCTTTGCTTGTTCAAACCATTGTTGTGAACTTTTGCTAGTGAAACTCTTGCCAACTTTCCTCTTGAATGTGTGCATAAAGAGAACACGAGCAAACACGCAAGGAACGCTACGACCACTTTCACAACCGTGCCTTCCCCCATAGTCTAGCTCCCGTTGTAGAGTTTATCTCCGCAGCCGCGACCTTCGTTGTTGCAACGTTTATGCTGGAGAGGGAGCTGTTCGCATTCCGCTTGAGCGAGGGAGAGTCGATGCAACCTGTCCTGGACAAGATGCGCGACCCCAATGCGATGTTGGCGACAGCGGGAATCACCTACCCGGAGCAGACCAAGTGCATGAAGATGCTCTCGCTGCTGCCAGAATCGTGGCGTCAATTTACGAACGGACTGAGCCTGTTACAGAACCAGAGCTTGTAAGGAGGAGCCTGGATGGAGACGATGGCAGCAGCGGCTACGGCATGTAAGGAGGCAAACGTGGCAAATGATGTGGCTTCGACGGTGTTGGACGTGGTGCAAAGACGGACGACGACTTCAACGACCAACATGGATGTAACGGTTTGGGTCGCGGTGGAAAATCTAGACGCGAGGGCAGATCGGGTGCTGGAGGCAAAATAAAAGGGAGCTGATCGTATTGTGAGAAGGAAGGGTATCCTTGGTTCTTGTGGTACTAAGAGTAAGTGCGTTACTTATTCGTGTGGATGGTACTAGAAAATAAGTGTATTACTTACCCATATAGATGGTACTAAGAGTAAGTGCGTTACTTACCCATATGGATGGTACTAGAAAATAAGTGTGTTACTTACCCATATAGATGGTACTAAGAGTAAGTGCGTTACTTACACAACCGGATGGTATTGAGTACGTGCGTTTCTTACCCATGTGAATGGTACTATGAGTTAGTGCGTTACTTACTCAAGTGGATGGTACTAAGAGTAAATGCGTTACTTACCCATGTGGATTCTACTAACATTATGTGCATTACTTACCCAAATGAATGGTACTAAGAGTAAGTGTGTTACTTACACACGCGTAAAAGTAAGTGCATTACTTACCCATGTGGATGGTACAAAGAGTAAGTGCGTTACTTACCCATTTGGATGGTATTAAAATGAAGTGCATCTCTTACCCCATGTGGATGGTACTAAGAGTAAGTGCGTTACTTACCCATATAAATGGTACTATGAATGAGTGTGTTATTTACCCATGTGGACGGTACTAGGAGTATGTGCGCTACTTACCCATGTGGATGGTACTAAAAGTAAGTGCGTTACTCACCCATGTTGATAGTACAAACATTATGTGCGTTAATTACCCATATGGATGGTATTAGGAGTAAATGCGTTGGTTACAAATGTGGATGAAACTGAGTAAGCGCGTTACTTGCACATATGTATCGTACTAAGAGTAAATCCGTCACCTACCTATGTGGATGGTACTAAGAGTAAGAGCGTTCACTACCTATGTGGATGGTACTAAAAGTAAGTGCGGTACTTACCCATGTGGATGCCACTAATATTATGGACGTTACGTACCCATATGGATGGTACTAGGAGTAAGTGCATCACTTACACATGTGGATGGTACTGAGTAAGTGCGTTCCTCACATATATGGATCGTACTAAGAGTAAATGCATCACTTACCTATGTGGATTGTACTAAGAGCAAGTGCATTACTTACTCATGCGGATGGTACTAAGAGTAAGTGTGTTACCCATGTGGATGGTACTAAGGGTTAGTGCGTTACTTAGACATGTGGATGGTACTAAGAGTAAGTGCGATACTTCCCCATGTGGATGATACAAAAACTAAGTGCGTTACTTACCCATATAGATCGTACTAAGTGTATGTGCATTACTTATACATATGGATGGTATTGAGCATGTGCGTTGCTTGGACATATGGATGATACTATGATTAAATGCGTTACTTATCCATGTGGATGGTACTAAGAATAAGTACGTTACTTACCCATGTGGATGGTACTAAACGTAAGTGCGTACTTACCCATGTCGATGGTACTAAGAGTAAGAGCGTTCGTTACCCATGTGGATGGTACTAAAAGTAAGTGCGCTACTTACCCATGTGGATGCTACTAACATTATGAACGTTACTTACCCATATGGATTGTACTAAGAGTAAGTGCGTTAGTACTGAGTAAGTGCGTTCCTCACATATATGGATCGTACTAAGATTAAATGCATCACTTACCTATGTGGATTTTACTAAGAGGAAGTGCGTTACTTACTCATGCGGATGGTACTAAGCGTAAGTGCGTTACCCCAAACACATACGGATGGTACTAAGAGTTAGTGCGTTAATTAGACATGTGGACGGTACTAACAGTAAGTGCGACACTTTCCCATGTGGATGATACTAAAACTAAATGCGTTACTTACCCATATAGATCGTACTAAGAGTATGTGCATTACTTATACATATGGATGGTACTGAGTAGGTTCATTACTTGCACATATGGATCATAGTATGAGTAAATGCGTTACTTACCCATGTGGATGGTACTAAGAATAAGTGCGGTACTAACCCATGTGGATGGTACTAAAAGTAAGTGCATTACTTACCTATATGGATGGTGCTAATATAATGTGCGTTACTTCCCCATATACCGTCTCTGTCGAGATGTCGGTTGGCAGGTTAACTTGCGCCCGCCCCGACGCCGGCCCATGCTCCGACTTTCACACCTCCAGCGACATTGTTTCGTAGAACACCCATGTCCGACATGGTGACCACCTGGTTGTCGGCGATGTCGAGGAGCTCCCAGCCCTTGCTCTCCTCCGACACGCCGAAGTGAAGGCCCCACCTGGCCTTCGGCTTCATCTTCTTACCGCGGTGCTGCTCGAGGACAAGGAACTGCGCCATGCAGCCCCACACGCGGGCAAGAGATAAGTCGGACTTCTTTCCGGTGGAGTACGGCGTCGTCCCCGGCAGAAGCGTCGACCTCTCCAGGCATTTGCGGACCCAGACGGCCTGCCGCAGAGCAAGGTGCCACCAGTGGTGCTGCTCGCCCATATGCAGCAGCATCGTCCGCACCGACTCCACCACCGTCCGCATCTCCCGCTCCGCCATGCCGTTCTGCTGCGGGGTGTACGGGCAGGTGAGGTCGTGGATGATCCCCTCGCCGTCCACGAAAGCGGTGAACTCCTTCCCGAGGAACTCCCCTCCCTGTTCAAAGCCCAACATCAGGACCGACTTCTTCCTCTGCCGCTCAGCCATCGCTAGCTACTGCACGAACTCTTGCAACACGTGGGACTTCTTTGCGACCGGCCTCATCCACACGTAGT